TTACTGTGCAATCACATCTCTTCCTTTGATAATCTGCTTGATTGCTCTCTGTTGAATAGCTGATGGTTTCTCAAAGCCTAGAATGTTGTTTTAAACAGAAAGACCTTTTAAAATTTCTTCCCATGTACGTATCCAAGTAGTGTTGTCAATATTTCATAAACCAAAGCACTGAGCGAAGTGTCAGGAGGAGATTTTCAAAGGCACAAAGGAGAGTGGGCGATGCACAAAGTGGCTGTTTAAAGGGGCGATGTTAAACCGATGTAACTGTGTAGACACGTATCAGGCTAGCTTGCCCCTGTGACCGCAGCAGGCGTGTTAGCACGGCCATAACCGCCCCCCCCCCCCCCCCCGCCCCGGCCCGGCTCCCGCCCCGGCCCCGGCCCCCCCCCCCCCAGTGTGCCCGGGTTTAGCTCCAGCCGCTTTTACGGGTTTAAGTTACACGGGGGCAACTTCCGCGTCGAGCCCCGAGAGGCGCCTGCGAGCCTCGCACCCGCTCCGCGCTCGGCCCCATTTTGTGCGATGGCTCCGCGCCGAGCGGGAGCGCGGCCAGAGCCGGGAAACGGCTCCACAGAGACCGCCCCCCCCCCCAGCAGAGACCAGCGGGGGCGGGCCGGGCCGCGGCGCCTCGTGGGGGCGCCCCCCCCGGCCCCGCCCCCCCCCCCCCGCCCCCCGGCCCGGCCCCGGCCCGTCCCTCAGCCCCCCGGCCCGGCCCGTCCCGGCCCCGCACCGTAGGCGTAGATGCCGCGCAGCAGGTCCTCGCGCAGCCCCATAGTGTCGAAGGTGGGGGTCACGTCCACCTCCTCGCTGGTCTCGAACTCCACCTTGGTCATGTCCTCCTCCTTCAGCAGCCGCTTGCGGGCCGAGCCCGCCGCGCCTGCCGCGCCCGACATGGCCGCTCCGGCTCCGGGACTCGGGCCGCGCCGCCACACGCTCGCCGCGCTCCGCACTGCGCCTGCGCCGCGTGCCGCCGCGTGAGGTCAGCGCGCGGGGCGCGCTCCCCCTCCCCCACGTGACGGGGGAGCACGAGCCTCGCTGCGGAGCTGGCTCTTCCCCCACCCCCGCCCCTGGGGCTAGCTCCTCCCCTCCGGGGCTAGCTCCTCCCCTCCGGGGCTGCCCTGCCCTCACGCCACGGGCTGGCTCCTCCCCCACTCTGCTGCTAGGGCTGCCCCCTGGGGCTGGCTCCTCCCCTCCGGGGCTGCCCTGCCCTTACGCCACGGGCTGGCTCCTCCCCCACTCTGCTGCTAGGGCTGCCCCCCCCTCTACCCCATGGGGCTGCCCCGCCCCTCCCCTCCCCTCCCCTCCCCCATGGGGCTGGCTCCTCCCCCCCAGGCTGCCCTGGCTCCCATAGGGCTGCCCTGGCTCCTTCCCCCACTCTGCTGCTAGGGCTGCCCCCCCCTACCCCATGGGGCTGGCTCTTTCCCCTGCTCTGAGGCTAAGGCTCCCCCGTTGCAGATGTGCAGTGCAGGGCCCTGTGCATTCCTGTGTCACTCCCCGCTCACAGCGTGCAGGCCCATACCTAGGCTCTCTGAGCTCCTACGGTTGCCTCAGGCATGTGGCCTGGGTGCAAGGAACCCCTGACCTCCCTCTCTCCCTGCTGCACCTGTGGGGGGCTCTGGGGCTGCCACAGCAGCAGACACTGCTGTACAGTGCCTCTTGTGGGGTGCAGCCTGCTATTTCTAACTGTACTGCTTGTCATGGAGCTGCTCTAAGCCAATGGGCTCTCCCATCAGCTTAATAACTCCCGTCTCTGCGAGAGGTGGTAGTGAGGAGAAGCTCTCCGCTGACGTAGTGCCGTCTACACCAGTGCCTACACCCCTGAGTGACAAGTTATATTGAGGTAACCTGTAGTGCAGACAAGGTCTTTCTCTTTTTCCCAATAGGTGACACATCTAATTTCCCTACTGCATGCCATCTGCACAATAGATACAGTTATACAGTCAGAGCGGATTTGCTCAGAATTTATGGGACATCCAATCATGGATAAAGAGAGGCTCAGGTAATTGGAAGAATTACTAAGGCCTTGATCTTGCAAATACTAATCAGTATTTGAACTCAGTAGGAATAACTTATGCATGGACTGATTTACCAGCCTAAATATTTGCAGGCTCGGAGTTTTAGTGATTCACAGGAAAAACACAACCATACCTAGCATCTCTGTAGTCAAAGGACTGCTCAGATCCTATCTGGGTGGGTGGATAGGAATGATCATCACCCCATTGTACTGATATGAACATAAGAACGGCCATACTGGGTCAGACCAGTGGTCCATCTAGCCCAGTATCCTGGCTTCCCGTGGTTGCCAACTCTCCAGGATTGTCCTGGAGTCCCAGGAATTAAAGCTGAATCCTCAATTAAAGATTATGTCATGTAATGAAACCTCCAGGAATACATCCAACCAAAATTGGCAACCCTAGGCCAATGCCAGAAACTTCAGAGGGAATGAACAGAACAGGGCAATTATCAAGTGATCCATCCTCTGTCATCCAGTCCCAGCATCTGGCAGTCAGAGGCTTACACTCAGAGCATGGAGTTCCATCCCTGACTATCTTGGCTAATAGCCATCAGTACAACTATCCTCCAGGAACTTATCTAAATTATTTTTTTGAATCCAGTTATAGTTCTGGCCTTCACAACATCCCCTGGCAATGAGTTCCGCACATTGACTGTGCATTGTGCAAAGAAATATTTCCTTATGTTTGTTTTAATGGGAACCTGGAACAGAAAAGTGAGGCCACGTAGTAATTCAGTGGCAAGCTCCAAGATAAAGGCCTGCTCTACACTACAATAAGGGCTTGTCTACACTTTAAATGCTACAGCAGCACAGCTGCAGCACCCCAGTGTAGACACTCAGCTCTGATCTACACTAAGGGTATGTCTACACTACCCGCTGGATCGGCGGGTAGCGATCGATCTATCGGGGATCGATTAATCGCATGTAGTGTAGACGCGATAAATCGATCCCCGATCGCTCTCCCGTCGACTGCTGAATTCCAGCTCGGCGAGAGGCAGAAGCAAAGTCGATGGGGGAGCCGCGGCGCGCCGTGAGGACGCGAAGTAAGTAATTTTAATTCGATCTAAGATACATCGACTTCAGCTACGCTATTCTTCAGATACGCATATCTTAGATCGATTCCTCCCCCCCCCACCCCCCAGTGTAGACCAGGACTTAGTTGACAGAAGACTCTCCTGTTGGCATAGGTAATCCACTGCCCCAAGAGGCAGTAGCTAGGTTGATGGATTTTTTGTGCTGATAGTTTTCTTGATGTGCTGAGATATTGCATCCATTTCTTATTCATCATAGCAAAATATCACACTGAATATCACTGCTACTACTATATAACTCATCTTAAATTGGTATCCTCCCAGAGGATACTCAGGTGTGTGGGTTTGTGTACACTACAAAATTAAGTCGACCTAACTTACATTGGTATACAGCCGCCACTGTAATTACATCGCTTGTGCGCATCTACACTTTGCTCTTTGTGTCAGCAGTGTGTGTCCTCCCCAGGAACGCTTGTATCGATTGTACTGTCATTGTGGGACAGCTCCTGAAAGCCATTAACAGTCATTGACATGAGCAACGCAGTGTCTGGACTGACACTGCATTGACCAAATCCATTGACCTTGACCGCTTGTGTAGGTGGAGTTGTTAAGTTGGGGTAGTGGGGCAGTTACGTCAGAGGGAGCAAAATTTAAGGTCAGGTTTACACTTCCACTTACTTCGGTATAACTTACGTCGCTCAGGGGTGTGAATAAGCTGCCCTGAGTGAGGCAGGGCCGGCTTTAGGAAGTGCGGGGCCCGATTCGAACAGTTTCGACGGGGCCCCGACAGGGATGACTAAAAAAAAACACGTAAAAAAATACGTGGGGCTTGTACTCACTGGGCCGCGCTCCTAGTCTTTGGCGGCGGGTCCTTCACTCGCTCCGGGTCTGAAGGACCCGCCGCCAAAGTGCTGCCAAAAACCCAGAGCGCCGCCGGGTGAGTAAAAAAAGGTGTCTCCAGCCAGGGAAGGGATTCTCTGCCACTTGCCCCCCACTCTGGGCGGCCCTGCCACTGGGTGTGGGGTCCTCTTAGGCGCGGGGCCCGATTCGGGGGAATTGGTGGAATTGGCCTAAAGCCGGCCCTGGAGTGAGGTAAGTTACACCGACCTAAGTGCTGGTATGGACAAGTGCTATGTCGGTGGGAGAGCTTCTCCTGCCGACACAGCTACTGCCTGTCCGGAATGTGGATTTATTATGTCGACGGGCGCGCTCGCTCTCCTGGCAGCATAGAGCGTCTTCACCAGAGACACTACAGTGGCACAGATGCAGCACTTCTCGTGTAGACTAGCCCTAGGTGTAAACACTTCTGGAGCCGGCAGGAGGCATAAGCAGACTAAGCAACTGCTCAGGGCCCCCAGCAGCTCACCCCCCCTTAATTATTAGTATGGGGGGGTATTCCTACGTAGGGCCCCCAAGGGGCTGGCTCCCCCATTAATTATTAGTGTAGCTGGGGGAGGATATTGCTGCTCAGGGCCCCCAGCAGCTCACGCCCCCC